CAGCACCACTGATTCTCTCCCCAGCGTCCATCCGTGCATACAGCTGGTGTCCACTAGGAAGTGGAATACTCGGGATCCAGCAGAGGGCGACACCGGAGCCTTGTTTACTTGGGAAAGGAAATTGGTCTCCAAGGAAGGAGGGGCTGGGGCAGCTGGACTACATCTCCCAGAAGGCCCAGCACGAGAGTAAATTTACGGCCCTCGTGTCTACGCCCTCTTGGTAGGTGGGGGCCAATGGCAGAGCATGAAGGCGCGGGGACGGCGCGTGAACGCGCCGCTGGTTGAGAGGCGTGTGACGCACTTCCTGTGCGCCCCCACCTGTGCGTTTCTCTCGCGCCTGTCCCGCGCCGGGAGCTGTGAAGGTGACAGCGGGAGGTGACCCGCCTGGGTCCCACGATGCTAGCGGCACGGCAGCTTCTCGGCGGGTCGCTTCCCGTGCGGGTATCTGTGCGTTTCAGCAGCGGCACGGTGAGGCCCTTCCTGGTTCAGGCCTGGGGTGTCCGCGCGGCGCGCTCCTTCTCTTCGGGCTGCAGCTCAGCCTGGATAAAAACGAACGGTCCCGACCCAGGGCTCTCCGGTCCAGCTTCCTTTATTTAGCAACCTCGTCCTAGCGTGAGGGTTTGCAGGGTTTGAGGCATCAAGGTCTGTTATTTCTTTCTCGCAGCCTTGCCGGGTATCGGGGTCATTCCCCATTTTCAAATGCAGAAAACAGCGTTGGAGAGGATGGATATCTCCTCATCCCCCGCCAGTGTTCTGCTTCCTGTAGTGGCCAGGAAGCACTTTTGTGGTTTTTGTTTGCGTTTATGAGATAGGGGCTCACTTTATAGTCCAAGCTGTATTTGAACTAGTAATGATGCTCCTATCAGCGTCCCGGGGTCCTCTTAGGACCACAGGCATCCACCACAACACCTGAGAAGTACTTTTAAGGAGGCGAGACTGGAAGTCTGGCCACTTTCTACTGTCATGACCCATTCCAGCCCATACAGCTCCACTTTATCCCAGGTAGGCCCCACATCCCTTTTGTGTCCTATCCCCAGTGAACACAGTTTGCTTCCCTAGCAGGGATGTCAGACCCCTCCAGACAAATACATGCTGGACTTGAAGCAGTGTTGATGCCATAGTTGAAGCATGACATGGACTCAGCAGGGGCCATCTGCTTTTAGCTTTATGACTGTCCCTAAGTTCCTTTTGCTCAGGGCCTCTGATTCCTCCTTTGTAAAATGGAGGAAAGGATTCCTACCTCAGGCTTGTTACCTGGGTGAGTTGAGGTGAGGTGTGGAATGTTTAGCCCGGTAACTTCTAAGCAGGAAGCACTGAAATGGGTAGCGTTACAGCTACCTGTCATCATTGGAAGAGTCTGAAGCCTCCTTCCCCTCTGTGGTCCAAGAAGCTGAAGCGTCTGCCCAACCCTTCATGGCCACAGAGCTCTGCTGGGCTGCCTCCTGACCTTCTGTCTCTCCAGACAGCACCCAAGAAAACCTCATTTGGCTCGCTGAAGGATGAAGACCGGATCTTCACCAATCTGTATGGTCGCCATGACTGGAGGTGAGACAGTGCCCTTGGACAGCTGGGTCCCTTCGAAGGGCCTCTCCCTTACATTCTTTCCTACTCTTTCCAGGTTGAAAGGGGCCCAGAGTCGGGGTGACTGGTACAAGACAAAAGAGATCCTGCTGAAAGGGCCTGACTGGATCTTGGGTGAGATCAAGACATCTGGCTTACGGGGCCGTGGTGGTGCCGGCTTTCCCACTGGCCTCAAGTGGAGCTTCATGAATAAGCCCTCAGATGGCAGGTTTGTGGGGAGTACCCTGAGATGTGGTTGTAGGACAGACTGGGGGCTTCTGGAGCACTGGACTCTGGGAGTGATTCTGGGGGACTTAGCAGACTATAAGCAGTTAGGCAGAACTTAAGAGATCTCTGGATTTCCTCAGAAGGGACGCAAGAGTCTACAATCCATACAAGATTTTGATTCAGGCAGGCCTTATTGGTAATTGTTGAGCTTTGCGGAATCTGGTCCTTTCAAATCTGAAGTTTCTTTTTTCATGCCTGAGTATGATATGTGGGAATTAGAAAGATAATGCTGGTTCAGCTTTTGACCTGCAGCTTCCATTGACACTTAGAGTGCAAATCATAGCAGTGAGCCATGGGCTATCCAGACAGGGTTTTCCTGTATAGCCCTGGCTATCCTGGCACCTGCCTTGTAGACCAGACTGCCTCTACCTCAAGAGTACTGGGATAGCCAGTCATTGGTGGTGCATGTCTTTGGTTCCTGTCCTAGAACTAGCTCTTGTAGACCAGGTTGGCCTCGAACTCACAGAGATCCACCTGCTCCTGCCTCCCGAGTGCTGGGATTAAAGGGGTGCGACACCACGGCCCGGCTTTTTTTTTTTTTTTTTTTTTTAAGTCAGCTGTTCTACCTCCTGTTGGTCTCTGGGCTGTGATGGAGTTTGGAGAAGAGTTGTTATGACCAGGAGCTGACTCGGAAGGAAAGGCACAGGGAGAGCATAGACTTTTCTTGTGGACATACCTGGCCAAAGATGGACTGGGCTGTCATTGGAGTGAGGCAAAGAACCTGGGCTGGGGCAGAGAGGATCAGCTTTTTTGAGGCTTCTCTGGGTATAGAAGGAATGGAGTTTGGTTGAGTGCTGGGTCCTGGTATGTCTGTAGCCTGACTGATGTTCAGGACCCCACAGGCCCAAGTACCTGGTGGTGAATGCTGATGAGGGGGAGCCAGGAACCTGTAAGGACCGAGAGATCATGCGCCATGACCCTCATAAGCTGGTAGAGGGCTGCCTGGTGGGAGGCCGAGCCATGGGCGCCCGCGCTGCCTACATCTACATCCGAGGGGAGTTCTACAACGAGGCCTCCAATCTGCAGGTGAGCACATGGGCATAGGCCGGCAGTGCATGCATCCCTCTCGTGCTTCCTTTCCTGGCACAGCCGTTCTTAGATGGTAGCACTAGTCTCTGGTCCAGCCTGGTCTGGGGTATCCATTTCTGCTTACATCAGCAACAGGACATGGCCCCAGACGTCTTCCTTTGTGTTCCAAAGGTTGATTTAGGAAGTCTTTAAGGGTTCCATGGCTTCTGGATTAGAGGCTGACTCTTGGAGTGTGGTGGGGCTGGGGAACTCACACTTTGTCCCACAGGTAGCTATCCGAGAGGCCTATGAAGCAGGTCTGATTGGCAAGAATGCCTGTGGCTCTGACTATGATTTTGATGTGTTTGTGGTGCGCGGGGCTGGGGCCTACATCTGTGGAGAGGAGACAGCACTCATTGAGTCCATTGAGGGCAAGCAGGGAAAGCCACGCCTGAAGCCACCCTTCCCAGCAGACGTGGGTAAGACCTTGTAAGATCCTGGATCTGACCAGGGGCCCCTTGGGTGGTTCTTACAATATTTCTCTGTGCCCTTTGGAGGGGAGGATGGATTGATAGAAGAAGGTATCAGTAACACAGGCTCCACCAGTGCCACCATCAGACACCCATGTCCCCTGCTAGCTGTGGACTGCGTCTCACAGTACCGGCTGTAGGAGGTAGGAGTGTGGTGGTGAGCAGATGAGCTCCCCTGGACTGGAGAGCAGTGTGGGCAAGAGTAGGAACTGCCACAAGACCAGGGCAGGAAACATCCCACTGCAAGAAACATGTTCCCAGCCAGGCAGTGGTGGCACACACAGAGGCAGGTGGGGATCTCTGAGTTCAAGGCCAACCTGGTCTACAGAGCAAGTTCCAGGACAGCTGAGGCTGCACAAAGAAACCCTGTCTTGGGAAAAAAAAAAAAAAAAAAAACCACACAAAATTGTTCCCTTTCCTGGGAAGCCACCAGTCACTGATCTCTTTTTATTTTCTTGAAGGGGTATTTGGATGCCCCACAACTGTGGCCAATGTGGAGACAGTGGCTGTGTCCCCCACCATCTGCCGTCGTGGGGGCACCTGGTTTGCTGGCTTTGGCCGAGAACGCAACTCAGGTACCAAACTGTTCAACATCTCTGGCCATGTCAACCACCCCTGCACTGTGGAGGAGGAGATGTCTGTGCCACTGAAGGAGCTGATTGAGAAGCATGCTGGTAAGCCTGAGGACCAGCCAGGAGGGGCAAGGTGCTAGGGGGTGGCACAGGGGGAAACTCAGGAGCGGGACTGGGTTCAGGGCTGACATTGGTCCTGTCTGAAGCCTAGGCGGGTGTGCCAGGCTTACCCATGGTAATTCTTTTGGGTATTGCCACAGGTGGTGTCACCGGCGGCTGGGACAACCTCCTTGCTGTGATTCCTGGTGGCTCATCCACTCCACTGATCCCCAAATCTGTGTGTGAGACAGTGCTTATGGACTTTGATGCACTGGTGCAGGCACAGACAGGCCTGGGCACAGCTGCCGTGATTGTCATGGATCGCTCGGTAATAGCCCCATGCCCCACAATCCTCCTGCCAGCCTGGGCATTACTCCCTACCCTACCAATCCTTACAGCCTGAGATCCCAGTACAGTGGGAGAGTGCGCCAGAACACTGGAACCCAAGTTAAGGGTTTTGTGAGAGGCTAAGGTGTCTGCGCTTTGCTTCTTGTCTCCTAGACAGACATTGTGAAAGCCATTGCTCGTCTCATTGAGTTCTACAAGCATGAGAGCTGTGGCCAGTGTACCCCCTGCCGTGAGGGTGAGCTTCCCAGAAAGGCTGGGGTTTGGTTGCTGGGCTGTTCTTAATCTGCCATGAGGCCTGCACCCCTTGAGTGTTGTCCCCCTCCCTAGTAGGAGAGCCTCAGGCCCCTCTTGCTGCTCTGTTGCAGGTGTTGACTGGATGAACAAAGTGATGGCCCGCTTTGTGAAGGGGGATGCCCGGCCAGCTGAGATTGACTCCCTCTGGGAGATCAGCAAGCAGATAGAGGGCCACACCATTTGTGCTCTGGGTGATGGGGCCGCTTGGCCAGTACAGGTACACACTGCCCTGCTATGCCACACTGTGGTGGGTGGCATTAGGAGTCCAGAGCTTTGGGAATTTCGAATTCTGGTTCATACAGTGCCTCTCTCTTTCCCAGGGTCTGATCCGACACTTCCGGCCAGAGCTTGAGGAGCGAATGCAACGGTTTGCTCTGCAGCACCCGGCCCGGCAGGCAGCCTCCTGAGCTGTACCCTGGCCTCCGAATTTCACATCCCTGCGGGAAGTTGGACAATAAACAAGTGCTGCCCGCTCTCAGATCACAGCTTGTCTGTGGCTGTGCTTTTCACCCTCCACCCCCACCCACTTGTGGCGCTTTGCTCCCTCACTGGGCAAGAGAAGCAGGATGGGACAGGGAGGTGAAGGCTGGGCTTGACACAGGGGATCCATCCCAGGCCTGAGGACATGCTGGCTGAGCATGCTGCCACTGAGCTGTGTGCCCAGTCATGAACCTGGCCCATTGCAGCCTCTAATAAGACAGTGCCCTATTGGGGGTCACATATTAGATATTTCCATTATGACTCATAACAGTAGCAAAGTTACAGTTAGAAGTTGGGGGTTACGAGAACATAAGGAACTATATTGAAGGGTTGCACCGTTAGGAAGGTTGAGAACCACTGCTCTAAATGCTAAGAGACAGGAGAGTATGGGCCTGGTCTGCCCTGTGAGGCAGGCAGAGAAGAGGCAGGTGTTCCTAGAGCAAGGCCAGACACCTGGCTAGCAGAAGCAGATGTTTATTTTGCGTTGTGTTTGGAGGTAGGGTGACTGAAAGGAGACAGGAATGGGCACAGCAGGTAGAGCCAACCTACAGCTCTTTCCAGCTGCAGCAACATCTTGGCCCTTGAACAGGCTGCAAGCAGGGGTCTGTGCTGGCTAGTCACCAAGTTGCGGGGGCACACTGTCCAGCAGGTGCCACAGTTCCAGCCGGCGGTCACTATGGCTCAGACACTCATGCCAGTGGCGAAGGCGTTCCCCACTGGCTCTGTTACTCAGCTGTACCCCACCTGCCAAGGGATGGGTCAGTAGCCAGCAGAGGCTCGTGAGACACGCCCCCCTCAGCACCCTGTGTTGCTGCTCACCAATGAAGTCATCAGCTGTGCCCAGGTCGTAGTCCCACACCGACACCAGCAGTGTCTTCTGGGCCAACTCCTCCCGATGACCTGCGTAAAAGAATTCCTGTAGGGAAAGGGACAGGAAAGAGGTGAGTTCTTTGCCACTTTAGAAACGGGCTCAAGCAGGGCCTGGTTTGCTAAACCATGAACACACTTACTGGGTTCTCCCAGCTGTGACCCACCTCATTGAACTCAGGGTTCAGGGTCTTTCTCCGAACACTGGTCTTGTATTTGGATCTCTTCCCAGAACCTGGATGCAGGAAACTAGAAGGAGAGATGGGCTTGTCAGGTGTGCCCCTGCAGAAACCAAAGGTTTTCTCTCATTCTCTATGCCCACCTGTCTGTTTCTACTCACAGGCGGACAAAGGGATCCGAGTAGCCATTGGCATCCATGGGGGCCAGGTGGGCACAGCGCAGCACGCCCACCAGCAGGCCACCACGCTGGGAGCTGTAGCATAGGGACAGGAGGATACGCCCACGTTCTTCCCCAGACACTTCTGCCTCCATCTCCTCCTGGAGATGAAAGCTAAGTCAGACCCTGTCCTGTCTGAAGCCTGCCACCTGTAGCGTCCAGGCCCCACTGTGAGAGCACAGATAGCTATAGAAAAACCAGGCCAGCCGGGTGATGGTGGCACACGCCTTTAATCCCAGCAGAGGCAGGTGGATCTCTGTGAGTTTGAGACCAGCCTGGTCTACAAGAGCTAGTTCCAGGACAGGCTCCAAAGCCACAGAGAAACCCTGTCTCGAAAAACCAAAAAAAAAAAAAAAAAAAAAAAAACCAGGCCATCAAGTTTGTTTCCTTAGACAGCCATTTCCCCCGTTCCCAGAAGAGACCTTACAGTGGCACTCAGAGATCTGTATCCTCCAAAGCCCAAGAAAGGCAGGGGCTTGCTGCTCACCTCTCTGTCAGTAGGAGAAGTGATGATTGTCACAGCCATGCATGTGACGTGTCAAAACCAGGAGCTTTCTAAGTGGCTTGTTCCCTTGCAATGGAAATAGCTCTGGGAGACTCTCACCAGAGAGAGACAGGTCTCTTACCTCTTAAGCCCACCTCCACAACCACTGCCTGGCTGACCATGTTATGAATGTCCTTTGCCACATTCTTTAGACATTGGAGCCCCCCAGCTAGGATGACGGCCTGGGTAATCAAGCCTTCTTTCCCATCTTTGAGGTAGAGTTGATGGCAGACATCTAAACTTTTATCATTGGCAGTGCTCGGTAGTGCAGGAGTGTATGGCCTCCGCTTCCATGTGCCAGGGCACAACTGCACATGGGCTCTGGGATCGGCAGACTGTTTGGGGGTTCTTAGTGATGTCCACTGTATGGGACTCAAAGGCTTGGGGTTAGCTAATCAGCCGCTGCAGAAGCTGGGCCTCCACTAGTGGGCAGGGCACCTACTCTTTTGACGGGAGCAGCTGGAAGGCCTGCCTCCAGCCTTGTAGATGCCCTTCCTACCAGGCTGTGGGGTTACCGTCACTACCTCCTGACAGGAACACCCAGAGGTATCCCCAGAGCGGACACTAGTGGCAGACGAGCTTGTTCCACCCTAGCCAGTCCTCCCACCTCTGGTCACAAATACCACCTTTCAGGCTCTGCCTCTAGATTGCTGGTTCTCTGCCTGCCTATCTTCTGAGAACTCTGCAGGTCCTTCCGAGGGTTCCTCATCTCCAGGCTACCCTAGCAAAAGAGTCATCATCACTCTGCCTAGCCAGTTCTGAAGGACTCAGAGAACTTATGAGAGAGATGGAATCAAATTCCTCCAAGCCTCTGATCCCAGCCTGGGCCGCCTGGGCCTGTCTGTCTCCTGCTCGGTCGAGTTCCCCTACCTACCTCTTCATATAGAGACATCCCACGGGCTGTGTCCAGACTCTTGGGCCTCTTGGTCTGAAAAAGCAAAACCCTTGGTCACTTCAGTAGATATTGTCCAGGTCCCTTACCCCATTTTCATTACATAGAATTTGGCTCTGTGGTCCCAACCTGAGCCCCAACTCCACTCACCAGCCTCCGCTTCTCCAGACAAATGTCAAAGCTCCTGGCTTGGTTTGGCACTAGCTTCCTCAGGGGCACTCGTAGCTCCCCTAAGGGGGGTGCGCGTCGTCGCCGCAGTCGTGAGTCTTCACACACACATAACCTAGTGGCCGACCAGGTCACTCCTGGTCATACGATCCCCACCCCCTGCCTCCCTACTGGTAGTCTGATCTGGGTCCTCACCTCAGGGTCTTGCGTCCAGCATCCTGGTAAGTAAAGCCATGATAGGTGAGTGTCTCCTCCCAGACAGGTCCCCTGGTGCCTCGAACAGTGCGTGTCCGAAGCTGGCTGGCCTGGAGCCAGGCAGGGAGGTCAGGCATCCTCCTGGCCTCCTGCCTTGACTCTTGAATCCTTGCAACTGAGACTTAGTTCTTAGAGTAGTGGTGAAGCAGGATCCATGGGTACCTAAGCTGGCCCTGCCATCTAAGGGGCCTAGATCTTACCCTTACCTTAATGGCCCCTGGCAGCAAGTTGGCTTTGACATAGGTGTCCACAGAGCCCGAGGCTAGGGGCTTGAGGCCCTGGAAACAGAAAATGAATGCAGAGGCCTGTGGCTTGTCCCATCCCAGAACCGCTGCCTTCATCCTCACCTTGGCACGATGGGCTGTGCAGTGCAGGGTGCTGTTGTCCGCATCAAAGAGAAGTGTGAACTCCAGGGTACCCAGGGCAGCTAAGGTGGCAAGTGGCAGGCATGGTCACCCTAATCCTGCACCCACCTATCCCACATGGCACAGTGCCACTTGCCTGGCCTCTGCCATGGTGCTAGAAACACCCGATCTGGTCCTAGGGAGCATCCCCTCATTGTTTCCCCTACTCACTGCTGTCGTCCGAGTCTCCTTCTGGCTCTGGGTTGGGTTGCAGCTGGGATGCAGAGTGGATGGCCGGGGCCAGCATAGTCTGTGAGCCTGGTGCACGCAGCACCGGCTCCAGGAAGGGGTAGAAGTGTGGGAAGTAGTCAGAAATGAGGCGGATGGGCTGTATGGGGCCGGGGCTCACGTCAATGGCCATGTGTTCCTGCATGCTCACCCGCTGCCGCCCACCAGCTGGCCCTGCACACGCCATGGTGGCTCAGACATAGAGACTCAAGAGAAAGCTCTCACCTACCAGAGACACTGGGCACACACCTAGCCACCAAGATGGAATAAAGAAACATCAGCAAGGTTACCCTAGGACAGACTGAAGGGAAGGGTTAGGAGCTCTACCTGGAGGTCAAGGCTGGAGTCAGCCCTTTGGGGGCCTTACCTCTGACAGCTGTGTCTCTGCTCTGCTGCTGCTGGCTCTGGTGTATGCCTAGGGCAACAGAACCCGAGACTAAAGTGACCCATCTGAGCAAGTGTGTGACTAAGCAGGAGAGGGGATCAGGTGCCCACACTGCCCAAGGGCCCTTCCCTAGCGCTGGCTGCCCAGCCGTCTCCTGCCATGCCCCTCCATTCACACTCTGTCAGATGGAGCTATTTTTGCCACCGTCATGTGGTCCTGCTGCTGGGTAAGAAGCCTGCAGGGCTAGAGGTGACAAAGGGGGTGTTGGGGGTAGGCGGGAGAGGAAACAGGTGAGAAGGGGGACAAAGGGTGTGGAAGTGTGCAGGAATGGGGAGGCTTCTGTGGAAGAAGTGGGTACTGTAGCTGGGAAGGCCCTGCATTCTGGTTCCCTTGAGGAAACCAACTGAAGATCACGCCACATTCCAGCCCTGTCCCCTGGCTGGGATACAGTCAAAGCAGTCATGCCCCTTTGTCTCCCTACCATGTCTGCCCCTTGACCTTACGGTGGCCCTCTGTGTGGACTGGCCTATCACTTCATCTCCACAATTTCTTCTCTTCCACCGCCCAGGCAGTACCTTCTACTTAGACCGGCCTCTGCCCTGGCAATTGGTCACTTCTTTGAGGTGTTCCTGGCAGGGGATCTCATTGACAGTAGCTCCAGCATCCCTTCCCCTTCTGCTACCCAACAATTTATTGGTTTCTGGGACAAAGTCTCAATATGTAACCCAAGTGCAAGGGGACCTTGACTTCTCCATCTGCCAGTTTCTGCCTCCACTGTGCAGGCATTACAAGGGTAAACCACATACTTTTCTTCTTCCATGTTTAAAAATGTATTCTGTGTATCTCTATCCATACACATATGTGAGCATGCATGTGGAGGTCAGAGGACAACTTGCAGGAGTTGGTTCTCTCCTTCCACCACGTGGGTCCCCAAGTCAGACAATGGTTGTGCCTTTACCCACCCAGCCATCTCACTAGCCCCATCTTGGTTTTTTTGAAACAGGGTTTTTTATTTGGTCTGGTTCTCACCAAGTAGCCTATCCGGGCTGGCCAGCAGCCCCAAGAGATCCACCTAACTGGTCCCCAGTGCTGGAATTCCAAGGCTGTGCCACCATGCCCTGCTTTTTCATGTTCCACACAGAGATGCTGAGGGAGAGTTGTCAAAGACTTTTAATCAGCTCTGGAGTAGCCTGGTCAAACGAAGGCAGAGGCACTTAAAGGCCAGGCCTCAATTCCTAGGCAGCTCAGGGACAACTAGGTAGGGCTGGTAGATGTCAGGGGCCAGCAACTTCAGGGTGAACTCAGTGATGATAGCTGTGAGGCCCCAGACACGGTATGGTCCATTCAAGAAGACAGGCATTGTGTAGCGGAAGTGGCCGCCCTGGCAGAAGTGGGTATACCCCTGGTTCTGTGTCTGCAGCAAGTGGGCCAGAGACAGCTCAAACACTTCATCCACCTGTGGGCAGGAGACAAGGAGAGGGTGGACAGAGGACTGCCTCTGAATCCCCCGGTAGGACATTCCAACTCCCCAGTACCCCCCATTCACCTCTTCAGGGTTGGGCCTGAGGCTCTGCAGATCCAATGGGCCCACGTTGGCAAGCACGGGGACTACAGTTGCCTTTGCCTGGGGTAGGAGGAGGGTGAGCAGTCAGGAGAAGCAAACCTCAGAGGCAGACCCGCTCTGCCATTCAGAGGCCTTGGGTAGTCATGGCCCAGACCTCCAGTCCTTTTCCTTGGCTTCTAGCAATGCTGCCTGATTACAAGTTCGAAGAGTTTTAACCTTCTGCCCTCACCGGTACTACCCTGAAATCACCCACTTGCCATTCAAGCCCAGAGCAACGCAGCCTACCCTGCATGCCTTCCTTGGACCCTGAGCAGGGCAGGCTCACCCATCACTTGGGGTACACAGCGTGACAGGATGAGGTGGCTCACCGGGTCATACACAGGCTGCAAGACACCCCACACGTGCTCCTTGGGCACTTCTAGACCCAGCTCCTCTTGAGTCTCCCGAAGGGCCGTATGTATTACATCTTGGTCGTCGGGGTCACACTTACCGCCTGGGAAACTGAATGAGTAAAGGGAGTCTTGGAACCACAGGCCTTCAGGGGGCAGTTTACCTCCCTATATCATTAGAGTTAGGGAGTGAGGGGAGGCACTGGAGATGCAGGTTAGGGCATGAGGTCGGCAGCAGGGCAAGACTATCCTGCTGCTCCGACACCCCAAGTCTGCCTGTTGTGTCCCAGTGATACAGACTATGACCCTGCAGTGTTCTCAATTCTGCTGAGGGCGAAGCCAAAGAAGGGGAACCCCGGACGGCCTCCCTCCAGTTCCCGGTAAGGAGCAGAGTCCAGTTTTTGAAGGGAAAAATCCAGCGGGCTGTACGGGCCGCAGGAGGTGCGCCGGCGGCCGGCGTACCTGACTTGCCCCTTGTGCCTCCCGCGCAGGCGGCTGGAGCGCAGCGTGTAGAGCAGCGCTGGGACACCGCGCACCAGGCACAGCGGCACGAGCACCGCGGCCGCCGCGGGCCGCGAGCGTAGCCGGGCAGTGGTCCCAGCTAGCAGCTGCCGGCAGCGCTGCTCGCCCTCGGCGGACAGGCAATCAGGCAGCATGTCTCAGATGACCGGGACGTGGAGGGCGCCGGCCCGCGCGGAGCCGGGAACCAAGCGGGACCCGGAAGGGGGCGTTGCTGGGGACTGAGGGGCGGAGACTCAGGGCCGGTCGGAAGCGTGTGTGCCTGCTGGGGCGGGGCCTCGGGTGGAGTCGGGAATCGGATCGGTCGGGGACGGCCGGTCCGGGACTGCCGGAGCAAGGCTTCAGAGGCCCGCGGACGGGGCCTGCTCCAGAGGGCTTCGGAGGCGGACGGGGCAGTGCCAGCTGGGGCGGGGCCTCGTAGGCCTTCGGGGGCGTGGCATACAGGGGCGAGAAGGCGGGATCAGCTGTTATTGGGCAGCAGAGGTGATTGGAGGTGATTGGGGTGGGGCATCTGAGGAGGGGCTTGCTAGAGGAGGGTAGAACCTGTTTTGTGTACCGGGACCAGAGCGCCACCTTAGGGAAAGACCTGGCCTAGAGCCCGTGGAGGCGTGTCCGGAAAAGTGGCCCCCCTGACTTGAGTTTCTTTCCGGGGGCGTGACTTCCCTATCAGTGCAGCTGGGTTGTTTTGGTCTTTGTGTTTCCGGAACGCTTGGGTGACCTGAATTGACTTCAGATTCGGGAGTTCAGATTCGGGAGATGTCTGGCTGGTGAAGATCTGCTGGGCTCCTTGTCTCACGCTCCTGCAGGTGTCGGTGCTTTCCAGAAGGTCTCACAGGAAGAGCTCCGGGTTAAGCAAAGTCGGAGTCCTCCGGTTCCCCGGGGCGCCCACCACAAAAGAATGAAGGATACGCGCCTCCCCCAGCCTTATCCCACCTGTGTCTGTAGAGCAGGAATCCAGCCACTATCCACCTGGACTTTACCCTCCGGCCTTGATTGGCTCTCACCCGTCCCTACCCTGGCCTGTGTGATCCCTACCAGTCATATTAAGCACCCCTCTATGGTCTCTAGCCTTCAGGACCAGCCTTGGGGCACAGCTTTTAAATGGAGTAACAGGTGACGGATGTACTTCGCTGTGTGACTGTGAGCAGAAGCCTCTCTGAGCCGGTTACGTCCTTATATGGGTGCACAAAGTAGGGGACACACCAGGTTAAGTGCAGCCTTGCTGGTGTCATCAGTGTTCCCATCACCCTGTGCTCCTGGGTCCAGCTTTTGGATACCTACAAAGGTGATAGGACCGTCTTGTCTGGGATTTCCTGTGGACAGAGTGCTCTGACTCCCGGTGTCAAGCAGTTTAATGTGGGGGAAGGACAATTGAAACAGGATTTTTTTTAGAGAAGTCGTCTTCGAGGCAGGGGGTCAGGATTCAGGGCTTCTGAGTAGGAGTCCTGATTCCAAGATTGGAGGCCCAGACTGACTTTGAGGCAGGAACCACTACCATCAGGGCTTCCTTAGAAGATGTCTTACAAGAGGAGGATGGGAGAGGTGGGGCACAGGGTAAAAGTGCTTCCAAAGCACTTGGCCATCACTGGGAGTGTTGGCTGGGTTCCAAGCACAAGGCAGAGGAGGACAGGAGCCCCAGCTTGGCTGGAAGGGTTGGGTCTTCCTGATTTCCATCAGGGCCGATGTTGGGGAAAGGGTATGGTGCCAGCTGAGCCCTTGGGATTCCAATGTGGCCAGGGGCTCCAGGGTACAGGTCCTGGTAAGGGAAAGGCCTGTAGGTGGCAGGGGCCAGCAGGACCTCTGGGGCAGGCAGCAGCTGATGGTGCGGCTCGGTAGGGGTCCTGGAGTCAGAAGTTGAAGCTTTACTGGCTTCTGAGGGAGGAAATGGTTTAAGTGGCTCACAAATTTCCCCTTGTAAGCCCAGTCCTAATACTGAGACCTGTCCTGTCTGCCTTGTCCCTAGTCGCCCATCTTGACCTGCTTCAGTATTTCTTCTTGTTCTCGTCTCTGCTTGGACTTTCTTCCTTAGCTTCTCCTCTATCCAAAAACCCTCTCCCAGTCCCAAGATGGGCTTCCATCTCCGATGCCCAGCTTGGGATCCACCTCCTCCAGGAAGCCAACAGGCATTCCTCCTGTGCTCTATACCTTGTCCCTGCCTTGGACCTTTCTGCCTAGGTGGGGGTGAGGGTGGGATATTGCTGATCACGGTGAAGCCCCTTCCTGGAGACCTGTGTGCTTGGCATCGTGTTTGGGCTGGGTCCTCACCTTTCTCTCGTTCTGCCGAACCCTTAAGGAGGCAGGGACCAAAGTTGTTACGACTCCGGGCTGTGATGCTGAGCAGTGGCCTTGGGGACACAGGCCTGAAGATAGGACAAGCAGGATGGGGTAGGAGGTCAAGGGGAGCCCCACCCCAGATATTATGGTCAGAGTCAGATAGGGATCCCATGGCAAACCAGAAGGCATAACAGTGAAACAGGTCAGGAGTGAAGGCCTTAGAAGCTGCCTGGGGTCAGGGCTGGGCTTAGAGCAAGAAGACATGTGTGAGACAGTACCATGAGTCCAGGTCGCTCTCTCTGAAGCCTTTGGCAAAGGGGTTGCTGGCAATTTTCAGCTGTGTGATCTACAGAGAGAAAGTTTAGATACCGGCTGGCCTCCAGCCATTTGGGCCCCGAAGAGCCCACACTTCGCAAAGGGGTTGCTGGCAATTTTCAGCTGTGTGATCTACAGAGAGAAAGTTTAGATACCGGCTGGCCTCCAGCCATTTGGGCCCCGAAGAGCCCACACTTCGCAAAGGGGTTGCTGGCAATTTTCAGCTGTGTGATCTACAGAGAGAAAGTTTAGATACCGGCTGGCCTCCAGCCATTTGGGCCCCGAAGAGCCCACACTTCGGTATTTTGTCCCTTGGGAACTCCCAGTCACCCACCCAGACCCCCTTGGCCCAGGACCTCCAGAGCCGCCATGCAGGCAGATGCCCAGTGGGCAGGAGGAATCTCCAGCCTCAGCCTCCACTCCTCAGAGGAGGGCTGGTCCGCGTGAGCTCTGGCGTGACCCACCCGGTGGTTCTGATAGGCTGTCACCGCAGTGAACTGGGTCTCTGTGAAGACAAAGGATTTGAAGTTTTCCTGGGCATAGCGGGCGCTGTCCTTGCGTGGGTCCACGAAGACCACGTGGAAGCGGGGCTGGTAACGGTGCATGGAGTTGAGAATGATCTGTAGGAGGGCGGGAGCAGAGCTAGTACACCGCCCTCCCTGGGCACACCTGTTCTTTGCCTTCAAACTACCTCTCCAACCTGCCATAGTGCTACCCAGCCCTGGTCATCTTTCAGCTGCATGCTGGCTGGCCTCCCTGCCTCCCCATCCTGTCCTGCCCCGTCTCCACACAGAAGCTGGGCAAGACACATGAACTCGCTCTAAATCCTCCAAAGCTCCCATCCACAGGGAGGAGAAGCCAGGGTTCTCACTCGGCACCTGGCCCCGTGTGACAGCCTACCCGCCACTTCCCCTAGCGTCTTTTCACTTCAGCCCCACTGGGAGTCTCCTGACTCACTCCATATTGTCTGGCCTCAGGACCCGTGCTCAGACTGTCTCCTAGGCTTCAAACAGCTTCCTTTCGCACCTTCCCTTCCTCCCTCTCTTCCTTCAGATACCCGTTCAAATACCACATCAGCCCTGCTAGCTCCAGGCTCCCCCCAATCCGAGTGCCGCCCTGCCACAGTCGTCCCTCCCCGAGATGGCTTTAGTGGCTTGCGCCTCACATGGCCATTGTCGTCCATCAGGTTGTTGGTCAGCTTGAGTTTGTCAAAGGACACGATCTGACGCATCCACTGGGCGCCCTTGGCTGGTGAGTCAGGGTGGAAGTGCACTCTGCCAGGTGTGGCAGGATCGGCCTTGCCCGCCACCAGCCAGGCAGAGCTGTGGAAGGCGTACCTGGGGGAGCGGATTGAGAGGTCAGGGGCTGTCCCTGTCCTGGTCGGTGCCAAGTCTGACCAAGACAATGGTGAAGAGGATGATCCTGACCCCGAATGCTCAGTCTGCCTGGTGAGTATCCTCCATGTTTTAATTAATTCTGTATGTGTGTGCATGCCTGTGCCTGCCTCAGGCTAGCCCACTCCCTCTGTGCTAGGCTAGCCCATTCCCTCTGTGCTAGGCTTCCTTCTGCCTAAAGGCTGTTGCTCCGGGCTAGGTTTCCCTGGCAGGAATTCAAAAGGGCTCCACATCACCCTGTCCCCCGGGGCCCAGACCTGTATCTTTTGTCATCCAGAGGGATGAAGTCCATGAGCAGAGCATAGTCAGCCAAGGTGTCCATGCCCAAGATCTTCACCTGGAAGGTGGGGAACATCCTCCTGCGGGAGGGAGGAGCTCAGCCTCGCTGTGGCCCCACCCCCTGCCCAGCCCCCACTGGCCATGCCCATACCGTCCAGCTTTGGTGACAATCATTTCCGTGCCCAGCTGGTTGAATTCTTCCCACAGGGGCTTCATCTCCAGCTGGACCATCACACTGGACACCCGTGGGTTCTTGGGGCCCTGCCCCGTGGCCTCCACCATGGCTTGGGCTTCCGAACCTGATGGGTATGACATCCCCAGCTGGGGCTCTGGGGGAGCAAGTACCCCGAGGCCAGCAGACAGGAAGACTGTGGAGAGAGGATGAATCTGTGAGTCCTGCCCTTGGCAGCTTACTGTCCATCCAGCCTCATCCTTCAGGGAGTGGCCACTGCCTCTTCCTCTGGGAGGTCTCCCTGCCTGCCAGGCTTCTGTTCCCAGTGCTGTCAGAAAGCATCACCCCGTAAGCATTCAGTTAGAGTGAACTTTGTTTGTTTGTCTCCCCCTCCCCAGACTTTAGCCCAGGCTGGCCTCAAACTCCGAAGATATCCGTGAACTTTGGAACCTCTTGCCTCCACTTCCCAGGGCCTGGAGTTACTAGCCTGTGTCACCATGACTCTCTGGATGGAACTGTTGAAGCATGGTAGTATTCGGTAGCCAAGGCTAGCCATAAGCTAGAGGTAATCCTCCTGCCTCAGCCTTTCAAGTCCCAGGATTACAGCCACTGTTTCTAATTTAAAGCCTTTCCCTCAGCAAGATCCTAGAGGGCAGAGACAAGAGCTACATGGCCCTGGACAGGTTGTCCCACCTCCAGATCCCCAGTTTCCCTGTCCTAGGGCAGACACACACATTGGTATGGGGAGCAGAGTGACAGTGGAGGCTCTTCATAGGTGACATACGCACAGACGGCGGGAAAGTGAGCAAGTGTGCCACAGGAGCACAAAGCTCCGTGAAGCCCCCACCCCCCAGTGCTGTTTACGGGAAGGGGGCTGAAGGCGGATCCAGTTCATCCAAATTACCTAACCTATCTTCCTTAGACTTTCCTATGCCCCGGCAAAACCTTTAAATTGTAGCTAGGGTATACCTAAGGCAAAATTTACCGAGTCAGCCATGTTTAATCATACAGCTCACGGCATTAGGACTAAAAACAATACACATGGGCGGTGAGGTGGCTCTGCGGGTGAAGGAGCTAACTCGCCTGAGCAGCTGAGTTCAGTTCCCAGGACTCACATGGTAAAGAGGAAACTGACTTGCTTCTCCTCTGACTTCCACTGGTGCTTACTGCTAGTTCACTGTCTGTTGACGTCATAGACAGCAGGACTGGAAGCAGCTTGGGGAGGAAGGGTTTATGTGGCTTAGAACTCTCAGTCCATCACTGAGGGAAGCCAGGGCAGGAACTCAAGCAGGAGCTTGGCGCTAGGAACTGAAGCCATGGAAGAATTGCTCACTGGCTTTCTCCTCGTGGCGTTACTTTCTTTTTTTGTTTGTTTGTTTATTGTTGTTTTGTTTCTCAAGACAGGGTTTCTCTGCCTAGCTGTCCAGGCAGGGGAACTCGCTCTGTAGACCAGGCTGACCTTGAGCTCAGAGACCCACCTGCCTCTCTGCTGGGACTGAAGGTGTGCGCCACCACCCTCTGGCTCAGCTTGCTTTACCTGAGGAGGCACTACCCCAGTGGGCTGCATCCTCCACATTAATCTTTACCCTATAGACATGCCCACAGGCCAGTTTGATGCAAGCAATTCCTCGGGTGAATTCCTTCTACCAAAATGACTCCAGTTTGTGTGAAGTTGACAACTAGCGGGCACACTTACAAAATAAATATTAACATAAAATACTGACACTAGACAGGGGACACAGCTCAGTTGGTAGATTGCTTTTCTAGTGTCCACAGAATGCTAGGTTTGATCCCCAGCGCCATGTTAAAAACACTGCCTGTAATGCTAGGACTTGAAGGTAGAGGCAGGAGGATCGGAAGTTCAAGGCTCTTCTCAGTTATGTAGTGAGTTTGAGGCCAGCCTGGCATATGAAACCCTGTCTTGAAACAAAACAAAGAAAAGAAAAGGGAAGAAAAAATAAAAATAACAAGCAAATAAAATAGGACTCCGATTCAAAAATCACAAAGAAAACAGTAGCACTGTTCTCAGTGAGATCGAGGTCCAGCCGTCAAGATGGCTGCTAGGACAAGAAAAGAAGGCAAAACTTAACCAGTGTGGGTGGAATTATGGAGAAACTGGAATCCTAAGGTGGGTGGGATTTTAAAATGGTGTAGCCTTTGAGGAAATCAAAGCCTTCTTACAAAACTAAACGTGGAATCACCAAAGGAACCTACATAAAGATGTCGCCACACCCGCCTGGGGACGGCACTGCTTACAAGAGCCAAAAGGCAGAAGCAATCGAGTGTCCACTGACAGATGAGCAGATAAACAAAATGTAGCTCACGATTACAATAATAATTATAGTAATTAGCCCTCAAAGGAAAGGACTTTCTGAGACTGTGTGTGAACATTCTCTCAGTGAGATAAACCAGAAGCACTGGGTCAAACCGTATAAATTCTGTTCACAGAAGGTAAAAAGTTACAGAAACACAGAGAGTTCAGTGGGGTTGCCAGGGCCCAGGAGAAGGAATGTTCCGTGGGGATGAGAGTTTCAGCTTTCTAAGACGCTGAAAGCAGACTGATGAGGGGCACACAGCCAAGGGTATCCTAATGCCCGACGCTGTAAGCTTAACCATGGTTAACACAGTAAGTTTTAATTTTTTTTTTTCAAGACAGGGTTTCTCTGTGGTTTTGGAGCCTGTCCTGGAACTAACTCTTGTAGACCAGGCTGGTCTCGAACTCATAGAGATCCACCTGCCTCTGCTTCCCAAGTGCTGGGATTAAAGGTGTGCGCCACCACCGCCTGGCTAACATGGTAAGTTTTACATGATATACCCTTGCTGCAGTTTAAAGGTTTTGTTGGGGATATAGCTCGGCAGTTGAGCCCTTGCCTGGCATGTACTTGTTTTCAATGCCCAGCACTGGGTTTTAAAGAAGGTTATTTTGAGCCAGATGTGGTAGTGTACACCTGTACACCCAGCGCCTGGAAGCTGAAGTTACCCTAAGCTACATATTGAATTTAAGGTCAGCCTCAGCTACATGATACCCCTGCTCAATGCGGAAACAGAAATCGGTGAAGAACAACATTCCAGTAAGGGACTGAGGACAGGAGGGTCCACAGAATCCTTGGTGGCCAGGTCTCCATTCCCAGCAGCACCACCAGGTCAGCCTGAGAAAGGGGCTGCTGGACGGAGAGAGATGAAGAGAAGGGGAGGGCTGGTGAGCTGGCTCAGCAGGTAAAATGGTTGCCATGAAAGCCAGACAACCTGAGCTTCATTTCTAGAACCTACCAGGCTGGAAAGAGAACCACAAAAGTTGTCCTTGAACTCGCACAAGTCCCAAGGCTGCCCCACCCTACCGTGCAGGAAATCGCACGCAGGGACAATTATAAACAATGAGAAAGACAGGTGGCTGGAGGTGTCTAACACACCAGGTGGGCAGTGCCACTGTTTACAGAGCATGTCTGGATGGGGCTTTGCAGCAACCCTGACTGTCCCTGGCCCATGAAGGGGTCATAAGATCCTGGGACCGCAGCAGGGAATGGAGGCTTTGGGGGGAAGATCGGCAGGATCTGCGGTTGTAGCTTAGGGAGCCTCCCATCCAGTTGTCCAAGCCCCTGAACCCCATCCACTTATGTGGCCACCTCTACTGCCTGAAGTATACCTACCTGCCATGCAGACAGCAGGATCTCAGCTCAGGCGGGGCTGCAGCCTCGCCCAGGAGGAGTAGCCAGCAACGCTGGGTTGTCCTATATGCTCAGCAACAGAACTCACTCTGGAGCGTGCACCAGTCCTCAGTTCTCAGCACTGTCCTTCCCTCCTCAGTTGTCCTCTGTCCACGTCCCTGGCCAAGACTTTTCCTCCTGAGATGGCACTTGGTCAGGATGTTCATAAAGTCTGGCTCTAGGATGTCCAGGGTGGGGGGGGTCTCCAAACCACCTCTGACTGTAGTGTCTGGAGCTGGGCTACTGGCTGGGTTTAGCTTCAGGGGCAGGCACATGTGGAAGGGGGCAGGTGGGGAGGCTGTGACGTTGCAAAGCTCCCCCTCTCCTCTCCTGGTCCTCTCTCCCTTCTCCAGCTGAGAGCCCCCCAGCTATTCCTGATCAATGGGCCCCAGTGCGGGTGGGGGTGGAGTGCCATCTTGAGGACAGCCTGGTGTCCACAGGGGCCAGGATCCGGCTAGACGGAAGAGCTGAAAGGGGAGGCAGCAGGAGAGGTGGCAGATGAGGGCTAAGTGCGAGGTGATGCCCTCCCTCACAGCCGAAGACCCCAGCCTGCTAGTATTGAATGGGACCAGGGACGAGCAGACACAAGAGAGGCAGGAAGAGCTCCAGACTGGGTAGTCAGATACTCAGATCTTCCTGCCAGTCTCGACTGCCTCGGTTTCCCTGACTTCAGTGAATAATCAGCTCTGCCTGGGATGTTCTGGCCTTAGCATAGCAGGGGTCACGCCCTCACCTGATCATCATCTGTCATCTCTGTTTGGGTATACTGAGGCAGGCTGTGCATCCACTCTACCCACTGGTCCCTCTCCAGCCTTGCCAGGCACCTCCTCCATGCTTCCCCTTCTGTCCTGAGGGAAACCTAGTCACCACCCAGGGATGGGGCTTGGAAGCCCGCACTTCCTTAGCTGAGGGCACCCTTTGACTAGTGGCCTGTGCTAAATGACCCACAGAAATTCACCTGGCCAGATCCCCTCAGCCCACCCTGGGAAGGAATAGCCAAGCCTCTTTAGAGTCTGGTGTTGCTGGGGACAAACAGGCAGGACCCAAACCCATGGCTGGAGGAGTGCTTTTCTCCGAGTGTGGTGCACTCAGATTAGCTAGCCCTGCCTCCTGCTGCCACTCAATGTCCCTCAGCCTCAGGTTCCAGCCTGAAGCTGGATGGGCACCTCCCCCCCATATACACACATGGAGAGGGGTGCAGTGAGGATCCCACCCTGCCCATACACACGTGGAGGGGTTGCGGTGAGGATCCCACCCTGCCCATACACACGTGGAGGGGTTGCGGTGAAGGTCCCACCCTGCCCATACACACGTGGAGAGGGGTGTGGTGAGGATCCCACCCTGCCCATACACATGTGGAAGGGTTGCGGTAAGAGTCCCACCCCCCATACACGCGTGGGGAGGGATGTGGTGAGGGTCCCACCCTGCCCATACACACGTGGAGAGGGGTGCGGTGAGGATCCCCCCCATACACATGTGGAGAGGGGTGTGGGAGGGTCCCACCCTGCACGGAGGGTCCCACCCTGCACTGATTCATACTCCACTGTGTGAGGACATTGACATTGGTTCTGGAGCTTTTACCCAGGCAAGAAAGCAAGAAAGGGGTGCTGTCTTCAAGTCAAAGGGCACCAGAATCTCCTAGGGGCCTTCAGTGAAGTGCGCCCCAGCCCTCCTGCCTCAGGATTCACTGTGGTGGGTGGGAAGTAAGAGACAAAGGAGAGGTTTAAGAGTTCTGTCCTAGCCGGGCGGTGGTGGCACACGCCTTTAATCCCAGCACTGGGGGGGGGGGGGGGGGGGGGGGGGGGGGGGGCTCGGGGGGGGCGGGACCAGCCGGGTCAAAAAAACCTGGTCCCAGAACAGGCCCAAAAACCAAAAAGAAACCCGGTCTAAAAAAACAAAAAAAAAAAAAAAAAAAAAAACCACACAAAATTGTTCCCTTTCCTGGGAAGCCACCAGTCACTGATCTCTTTTTATTTTCTTGAAGGGGTATTTGGATGCCCCACAACTGTGGCCAATGTGGAGACAGTGGCTGTGTCCCCCACCATCTGCCGTCGTGGGGGCACCTGGTTTGCTGGCTTTGGCCGAGAACGCAACTCAGGTACCAAACTGTTCAACATCTCTGGCCATGTCAACCACCCCTGCACTGTGGAGGAGGAGATGTCTGTGCCACTGAAGGAGCTGATTGAGAAGCATGCTGGTAAGCCTGAGGACCAGCCAGGAGGGGCAAGGTGCTAGGGGGTGGCACAGGGGGAAACTCAGGAGCGGGACTGGGTTCAGGGCTGACATTGGTCCTGTCTGAAGCCTAGGCGGGTGTGCCAGGCTTACCCATGGTAATTCTTTTGGGTATTGCCACAGGTGGTGTCACCGGCGGCTGGGACAACCTCCTTGCTGTGATTCCTGGTGGCTCATCCACTCCACTGATCCCCAAATCTGTGTGTGAGACAGTGCTTATGGACTTTGATGCACTGGTGCAGGCACAGACAGGCCTGGGCACAGCTGCCGTGATTGTCATGGATCGCTCGGTAATAGCCCCATGCCCCACAATCCTCCTGCCAGCCTGGGCATTACTCCCTACCCTACCAATCCTTACAGCCTGAGATCCCAGTACAGTGGGAGAGTGCGCCAGAACACTGGAACCCAAGTTAAGGGTTTTGTGAGAGGCTAAGGTGTCTGCGCTTTGCTTCTTGTCTCCTAGACAGACATTGTGAAAGCCATTGCTCGTCTCATTGAGTTCTACAAGCATGAGAGCTGTGGCCAGTGTACCCCCTGCCGTGAGGGTGAGCTTCCCAGAAAGGCTGGGGTTTGGTTGCTGGGCTGTTCTTAATCTGCCATGAGGCCTGCACCCCTTGAGTGTTGTCCCCCTCCCTAGTAGGAGAGCCTCAGGCCCCTCTTGCTGCTCTGTTGCAGGTGTTGACTGGATGAACAAAGTGATGGCCCGCTTTGTGAAGGGGGATGCCCGGCCAGCTGAGATTGACTCCCTCTGGGAGATCAGCAAGCAGATAGAGGGCCACACCATTTGTGCTCTGGGTGATGGGGCCGCTTGGCCAGTACAGGTACACACTGCCCTGCTATGCCACACTGTGGTGGGTGGCATTAGGAGTCCAGAGCTTTGGGAATTTCGAATTCTGGTTCATACAGTGCCTCTCTCTTTCCCAGGGTCTGATCCGACACTTCCGGCCAGAGCTTGAGGAGCGAATGCAACGGTTTGCTCTGCAGCACCCGGCCCGGCAGGCAGCCTCCTGAGCTGTACCCTGGCCTCCGAATTTCACATCCCTGCGGGAAGTTGGACAATAAACAAGTGCTGCCCGCTCTCAGATCACAGCTTGTCTGTGGCTGTGCTTTTCACCCTCCACCCCCACCCACTTGTGGCGCTTTGCTCCCTCACTGGGCAAGAGAAGCAGGATGGGACAGGGAGGTGAAGGCTGGGCTTGACACAGGGGATCCATCCCAGGCCTGAGGACATGCTGGCTGAGCATGCTGCCACTGAGCTGTGTGCCCAGTCATGAACCTGGCCCATTGCAGCCTCTAATAAGACAGTGCCCTATTGGGGGTCACATATTAGATATTTCCATTATGACTCATAACAGTAGCAAAGTTACAGTTAGAAGTTGGGGGTTACGAGAACATAAGGAACTATATTGAAGGGTTGCACCGTTAGGAAGGTTGAGAACCACTGCTCTAAATGCTAAGAGACAGGAGAGTATGGGCCTGGTCTGCCCTGTGAGGCAGGCAGAGAAGAGGCAGGTGTTCCTAGAGCAAGGCCAGACACCTGGCTAGCAGAAGCAGATGTTTATTTTGCGTTGTGTTTGGAGGTAGGGTGACTGAAAGGAGACAGGAATGGGCACAGCAGGTAGAGCCAACCTACAGCTCTTTCCAGCTGCAGCAACATCTTGGCCCTTGAACAGGCTGCAAGCAGGGGTCTGTGCTGGCTAGTCACCAAGTTGCGGGGGCACACTGTCCAGCAGGTGCCACAGTTCCAGCCGGCGGTCACTATGGCTCAGACACTCATGCCAGTGGCGAAGGCGTTCCCCACTGGCTCTGTTACTCAGCTGTACCCCACCTGCCAAGGGATGGGTCAGTAGCCAGCAGAGGCTCGTGAGACACGCCCCCCTCAGCACCCTGTGTTGCTGCTCACCAATGAAGTCATCAGCTGTGCCCAGGTCGTAGTCCCACACCGACACCAGCAGTGTCTTCTGGGCCAACTCCTCCCGATGACCTGCGTAAAAGAATTCCTGTAGGGAAAGGGACAGGAAAGAGGTGAGTTCTTTGCCACTTTAGAAACGGGCTCAAGCAGGGCCTGGTTTGCTAAACCATGAACACACTTACTGGGTTCTCCCAGCTGTGACCCACCTCATTGAACTCAGGGTTCAGGGTCTTTCTCCGAACACTGGTCTTGTATTTGGATCTCTTCCCAGAACCTGGATGCAGGAAACTAGAAGGAGAGATGGGCTTGTCAGGTGTGCCCCTGCAGAAACCAAAGGTTTTCTCTCATTCTCTATGCCCACCTGTCTGTTTCTACTCACAGGCGGACAAAGGGATCCGAGTAGCCATTGGCATCCATGGGGGCCAGGTGGGCACAGCGCAGCACGCCCACCAGCAGGCCACCACGCTGGGAGCTGTAGCATAGGGACAGGAGGATACGCCCACGTTCTTCCCCAGACACTTCTGCCTCCATCTCCTCCTGGAGATGAAAGCTAAGTCAGACCCTGTCCTGTCTGAAGCCTGCCACCTGTAGCGTCCAGGCCCCACTGTGAGAGCACAGATAGCTATAGAAAAACCAGGCCAGCCGGGTGATGGTGGCACACGCCTTTAATCCCAGCAGAGGCAGGTGGATCTCTGTGAGTTTGAGACCAGCCTGGTCTACAAGAGCTAGTTCCAGGACAGGCTCCAAAGCCACAGAGAAACCCTGTCTCGAAAAACCAAAAAAAAAAAAAAAAAAAAGAGTATCCTCCTCAGCCCAAGTTCCCAGAAGTGGGCCAGCCTGGGAGTCTGTTGGGTCTTGATGTGTGTGTGTGTGTGTGTGTGTGTGTGTGTGTGTGTGTATGTGTGTGTGTGCACGCACTCGCGTGCTTGTCTTTGATACTTGTAATGGGAAACACACACATAGCATAGACACGCTAATTCACAGCCTACATGCACACACATGAACTCAGAGGCCCACTCACGGCAGGACAGTGGCTGAAGCTTTTGTGTGTGTGCGTACCGTCTCTCCCTCCACACAGGGGACAAAGCCCGGCACATGAACACAGGCACCCCTCCCTAACTGGCCTGCCTGCCTGCCCCAGGCTCCTGCTGGCCCCACTGCCCTCTCATCCATCTTGTCTGCCAGCTGGTCCCTGGCGCACCCGTATCCTTCACACCTTCTCATCTCTCAGCTCAATACCAGGAGGCGGCATGGCAGCCATGGCCGCAGGGAGATGGATGGGCCAGGCAGACTGCAGAGGCCCAGCGCATGAGGCTGCAGAAGGACAGAGCTCTGGGCCCCAGCATCCTGACCTTTTTGCCTGCCCGGGAGGGAACCTGGGTAAGGACCGGGGGTTACCACAAGGACCTTGTGCTGGTGGAGGTGGAGGTCAGTCCAGCAGGGCAGACACAGAGACCTGGTCCTTAGATTCCAGGTCGTGCTCACTCCCCTGATGCTACTGGGTGGGGGGAGGTAGAGAAGGTGGTGGTAACTGAACTTTGGCTTCCTTCTGCCCGACCCAAGCCATCTTCCCTTCCCCTCCCCCAGTGCCCTGCAGCTGGGCAGTTGTCCTGGTGACACCTCTTAGGCATCCTGAATCCCTTGAGTCACCTGGGAATTTGCATCTAGGCCATGTGCCTAGCTACATACAGACCACTCCAAAAGAACACTTGTGGGCCCAGAACCCTTGGTAACACATACACACGCTAAGAACCTTTGGGTAGGCACAGCTGTGCCTGCTTACATGGGTACATGTCTGTAGGGGGCTGGGGGTTCCTCCTGGGCTCTTGACAGTCCCTCTCCAGATTGGTCTCCACATATAGGATCCCTCCCTATTTCCAGGATGTGTGGCCAGATGTGGGCACAGAGATGGCTGTCACTGGTCCCAAGTCCAAGGCTACACTTACTGGCCCTTCCCCCAGTTTCCCCTCCAGTGTGCTGTGCCCACATGTGCAGGTCCTTGCATGGTCCTGTGGGCATTCTTCTGCTCCTTCACCCACCTCCCCAGTCAAAGAGAGGCCATGCCGGGTAGAGAACAAGAACCATGGTTTCCAGGTACATTTTATTTTATATCATGGGATTGGTTGTCTGGCAAGGGACATGGTGCCCAGAGTAGGACAGAAGATCCTGGGCTTGGAAATGTTCCTTAGGACCATTGCTCAGATATGGAGACTGAGACCAGGCAGGTATGACTTGGGTTAAGGAGCCAGGGTGGAGCTGGAGGTCAGTTCGGGCAGGGCAGGCACAGAGACCCGGATCCTCTCAGATGTCAAGAAAGCCACGTGTTTCTCGTAGTAGGCAGCCTCATTAATGAACACGGGGTACACAGTGGAGTTCCCCTCGTATAGTACGTCCTCACCACTGAACAGCTTGAAGATGGGTTCACCGGGCCTCAGTGGCTCAAAGTCATGGTCCTGGGAGAAGAGCCAAGGCCAAGGTAGCTGGGGCCATGATCTCTGCCCCCATCCTCCCTCCCCCAGGAAGGAGTAACTCCAGCCTTGCCAAGGAACACTGTCTAAAAACAGGGTTAGTTCTGAGAAATATGTCATCAGGTGCAAGAACATCATGGAGTATACTATGCAAATTAGGACAGCGATGACATCATCAGGAAATACCCTCTCACCGGAATTGCTTCTGTCTACAGTCTCCTCTTGGACAAAGTATAGAACAAGCTTATATTTTTTAAAGCAAACTCCCTAAAGTAACTGTTATTACGTATCATTAGCAAAGCTTGTGGGCAGACCTGGCTTACTCTAGAAAGTACTAAGACTGCTGCCGGAAAGGCCACAGGGCTGCACAAGACCCTGCTCAACAACGACCCCACGTGGACAGTCAGCTCACAGACACTGGGTTGCTCGCATATCCATGAAAAAAGAACGCTTGCACTTCCAATCAGGTGACTATGTCTGGTCCCCACTGCTCTTCAGTTAAACAGCCACCCAGAGGACTCCCTCCACCCCAAGTATGAAGATTTGTGCCGCTCCAAATGCCAGATAAGAGGCAGGGCTCCAGCTGCAGGCTTGGACTGGATCAGCCTCCGGTCCACTAGGATTCTAAGGTACTGGGGGCTCCATCGGACGTTCAGGGTACCACCCCCACCCCATGTTCCGCGCAGCACCGACCTGGAGCTGAGGGTGCACAGTGCCAGCCAGGTCACCATCCGTGGTGCGTGGGAAGTCCACTCTACCCAAGATCCTGTAGATGTCTATCTCAAAGGCGGGAAAGGCCTTGCCTGTGTAGAGGTTGAGTGTGACTGCCTATTTCTCCGTTTTCCAGGAGCCAGCCCTCTCCCCCACCTCAGTTTCCCTAAAAGCTACTGTGGGGTCTCACCTTGGTTGAAGAGTTCGATGAAGTCCAGAGTGGAGGCCACCAGAGTTCTCATCTGTGAGAACAGGTCAGCCCGCAGCACGCCCTGAGGCTGGGGGCCCAGCTCTAGACCTGGGGACCAGGAAGGGAAAAGTCAGGTAGGTGCCCCAGGCCCAGACACCTACAGGAGGTCCCGCCCCTCTGGGTGCTGATTCTGCCCTCCAAGCGTCTGTCCTACCCCTTCCAACTCAGCCTCTCCAGGCCCGACTCCATCCACCCTTTGGCCCTCTTCTCCTCCCTGCCTATTTCTCCTACCCCACCTGCTCACCGATTCCATTCTTGGACACAGATTCCACGCTGTAGGTCTCTGCTCCAGGTGGCTCATTCTGCAAGAGGCGGCAGGGCAGCCCCGGGTTCTGCAGCTGTAGAGTGAGGGGGGCCAATCAGGATCCAGGCCTTCTTGAGAGGGGAAACTGAGGCACTGAGACTGGGAAGAGCAGTGTACAGGCTGCACAGTGTCATCTGCCCTGCCCCACCTCTCTCCCTTGGTTGGAAGGTTCCAGAGACTCTGGAGTACCTGCAGGTGGCAGGCCTCTGGGGACAGGGGACAAGCAGAGGTGACTCTGGTCCCTCGGCCCTGCTCCCTGCCCTCCCTCTCCCTGCCCTCTAGGAACCACCTGTAGGTAGTGGCACAGGTGCAGGTTGAAGGAGCTGTGGGAGGCTTCAGAGATGAGGCAGACCCCAGTGTTGGCCGTGGTGTTGTGCAGGTCCAGGATAAAGTCGAAAGCCTGGTCTGTGCCCTTGGGACCCAGAAGCTGGTTCAGCTCTCGGGCTCTTGTCACCTCATATGGGTCATCAGGAGTGGCTGTGGAACTGTGAGGAAAGTCGGGCACACCAGCTCCCATCATCTCAGCCTCCTTCTCTTGGCTAGCTTCTCACCTTTGAGGGCTTGACTGAGATGCCACCCCCCAAGAAGCTTTCCCAGACTGCTCTTGGCCAGGTTGGATGCTTCATGTAGCAAGTGGTACACACACACACACACACACACACACACACACACACACACACTTCCTCTGTGTCTCCTGGAACCTGAGGCTCACACTTCCTATTCCCCATGTGAATCTCACTCCAACTGGTAAGAGTCTGGCCTAAGGATCAGTGGCTGATCCAGGTTGCTGTCAGGACAGGCTTACTGGACGAGGTAACGTTGATCTGAATCTCTCTAAACCAGAGGGTCAATGAGCAAAGGCAGGGGTAGCTTGCTAGTTACAGAGGCGGGGGTGCGGGGATGTGAGCCACAGAGGCGGAGAGGCGGGGATGCGGGGATGTGAGCCACAGAGGCAGTGTGCAGGGATGCTAGTACCCGGCTGTGGACCAGCCACCTTGGGCAAGCCTACTCACTTGAGGAAGGTGAGGGTGCAAGTGCGGTTGAGATCACAGCCCAGGTACCGGCGACAGGCAGCTGTGGCTGCTGGGTTGGCCAGAACTGGCATGGCTGAGAAGCTGGGTCTCTGCAGCTCCCCTGGAGCCTGCAGCCAGTGCTTGGCCAGGTAGACACCACACATCTCATTCCCATGGGTGCCCCCAGTCACAGCCACTCGGCGCAGGGGCTGCCGGGAGACAGGCAGGGAGCACATCCTGGTGTAGGGCAGGAGCTCACCAGACACAGAGCTCCCAGGCCCGGGGAAGTCTGAGGCAGAGGGCTGCTCCTGAAGAGGTAGCTGGGCGGTAGTGTCGGCTGTCTCCCACCTGTACCCAGAAGCCAAGCTCTAGGACACTTTCAGCTAAATTTTTGTTCCACTTGGAACCTCAGTCCTGCTTCTGGAACTTTCTTGAGGGTGTGTTGCGCTCTCCACTTTTCTCTCAGAGGAGACAATTTTCCTTGATGTCTAGAAGGAAGGTCCCTTCACCTGTGCAACCAAGACAGGATCATGTTGTTCCTGAGAAGCCACACTGCCATTGTTACATTGTTACCAAGTCTCCATACCTTGCCAGGAGGTGGCTGTGCACGCCTTTAACCTAAGCACTCAGGAGGCAGAGGCGGGAGGAGCTCTGTGTGTTCAAGGCCAGCTTGGTCTACAAAGCCAGTTCCAGGTTAGGCTTCAAAGCTACACAGAGAAACCCTATCTCCAAAAACCAAACCAAACCAAACCAAAAAAAAAAAAAAAAAAAAAAAAAAAAAAAAAAAAAAAAAAAAAAAAAAAAAAAAAAAAAAAAA